AGAGAGAGAGAGAGAGAGAGAGACCATAGCTTCTGTTCGTCATATTGTGCACGCTTTGTATTTCAGGAAATCAGAGTTTCAGCTTTCAGAGAGTAGCATATGGTGGTCCAGAGGGGTGGTACTACACTTCATCTGTTGGGAGAAGAACTGGAGGAGATGGGGTGAGCTAACTTTTTAAGACGACATCATAAAATAGCTTTGTTCACTGTTCAGAAATTTGTACTTACTTTTCTGCGTAACCTAAAATTAGTTGTATTCCTTTTTATTTGTTTTTGGGCTCGGGTATATGGTGAAGGTGTTCTTGATGGAGATGAAAGAAGAAGACCGAACGGTTGGTGAATCACTGCATACAGTTTCAAAAGGTATACATGACAAGGTAATGCAACATATAAATGCTTGATTTTATTTTTCTTTTTTTTTTTTTAGTTTCTATTTCTTATGTTTTATGGTGGAGATAATGCAAACTATTTGTTAAGGAATTCAGCAAAGTGGACATTCCTTTGTTCAATTTTGCATTTTCACATTTTTATTGATTAAAATTATTCTTGAGACTATGAGTGTTATATCTCCTTGGTAAATTTGATTATAAGCTTGATCGATTGTTTTGGCTCATGTTTCTAAGTAAATTTTGGCATCTCACATATATGAACTATCAAGGGTTAATTGTCAAATACATTCTTGACGTTCAATCTATTTAGAAGACCTTTGTTGTCTTCTGAAGTTAACGACTAACATCGCCATTGGTATTTGTTTTTCTTTGAATTTTTTTTTTTCACATATTCCGCCCCTCAACTGGAGCATCTTTTATACTTGTTAAGATAAATGCAAAGCTTAGGTGGGGTCTTTTGTAAATATAGATGACATTTGTGTTTCTTGTGATTTGATCATACGGCAAGGGAAATTGTTGTAATTATTACTACAATCAAATTCGACTGAATCGGTATAGGTGTGATCAATAAATAGTTCTCTTTTGCTTCAATATGTTTTCTGCCATAAAGGGACATTCTGTAACAACCAAGCAATTCTCTGATGGGAAAGTTGATTCCCTGCAAACTTTACACAATCTACAGGAAGGTGAGTTTCTCGCCATCTGTCCCCTTCCCTAACATACATAGAGAATTCTTAGTCTGATTCTGAATCTGCTCGTAATTTGTTTGGCTCAACACCTTCCCAGATGAGCTAACTGATTTTCAAGAAAATTGGAATATGAGTGCTGACAAAGTTTTGCCTGGATGGAATGACGGCTTTAATTTAATTGAGAACTCCGGTAATCTTTCTTTTTCATTATCTTTTCATTTTTAACCAATTCGACCATGCATTTGGCCTACTCGACGTTGTAAATGGGCAAATTAGCTTTGTTTATACTTTATAGTCAAGACGAAGACCATCTTAAATGGAACAATAATACAAGAGACGAAGAAATGGGCCCTGTTAAGTAATTTCGATTCTGCTGCTTCAGAGTGATTGGGGCTTCTCATAAGCATTGGTGCATGGTAACTTTTGTGTAATATAGAAACCCATTTAAGTATTGCAGAATGGTTTGTTTTACTTTTACAGTAAAATGTAAAAAGAAAATACTCTTATGCCATGATTTATATAATACCATAAAACAACAGAAAATGGAAAAGGTTCTCATCCGGTCGACTGCGGCTTAAGTGTGTGTCCTTGTACTTGAATTTCCTTTTTTTTTTTTAATAAAAACTTTCCCTTGTTTTTTTTTTCTACCTTATTCTTTATAATTATTTTTCTTGTAATTATAGTGAAAGTTAGTTCATAGTGGATTCTTGATTATGATGTAGTCGTACGCCTATAACAATGCACGGATATATCCTGTAATTTTACAGGGTTTAACAATGGTGCATGGGATGATTATTTCGGTTGGGGTGGATGGCCCCGTCTGTCTCTCGGAGACCATGGGAACACCTGGGATGACGATGCTCATGGATCATCTTCAGATGGACCCTCCCGCAAAATCGTCCCTGTCGAATAGACTCTAGTTTGGCCTTTGGGGTAAATGAAATAAGTGTTGCACTTGGTGATTATGAGCTGATATGATATTTATCTAATATGGAGGTATGAAGTTGGTAATTTATGCGTGGAGGTTATGTATTAAGTTGTTTTTCTCAGCAGTGCACTAAGAAGAGAATGTTAAATTGTTAATGTGATGTTTATGAAGGTTATGTAGTAGAACTTGGTTTATCGTTAGAAGAAATCCTGATAAGAATCTTAGCCTTATGATAAATATTTAACTTGTGTCCAAAACGATGGATTTTCTTTTAAAATGCCAGAGGCTAGTATTCAGACCGGCCAAATGCCGGTTTTGGACCGCTTATGGGTGACCCCGAACTGGCACTATAATAGTTTAATGAATCGGTGATTCACAATTCAGGTTCACGGTTCAGAATCGATTTAGGGCTGAATCGATTCCGACAAGATTTAAGAAAAAAAGTGGAGGGGAATGAAAAAAATGAATTTGGGCTTAAAGAAAAATTTTAAGTTAAGAAGAATTTTTTGAGGTAAAAATGATATTCTAATTAATATTATGTCAAATAAGTTGTCTGCATTTTTTTGATATTTTAACATGTATCGTTCTTGATATTTTAATTCATAATCATGATTCGAAAATCATAACGGATCGATCCGTTCAATCAAAAACCGGCCATAGTATCGGTTCGGTTTAAGGATTTGAACCGTTGGGTAGAAACCGTTCGAACCATTAATTATTTTCCCTGCTCAGCAGTTCTAAATTTTGGATATGGGAAGTTCTGAACTTTGGCATGTAACTTGTTTATTGAGAAAATTATATCCTATACAAGACATTTCTCATTTTATTAACTCTCTTTTTAGTCGAGTATCTTCAAA